TAGATTTTCTTTTCTCTTAGATGAATTGATTCATGCAGCAAAATTTGAAAAAACAATATATATAAATATATTCATCACATATCTAAATTAGAATTAGATGTACATGTTTCACCAATAACACGATCAACATTAAAAATTGAATTAGCTATAGTACCAGACTTTCAATAGGATTATAAAATTCATGAAAGAGCTAAAGTAAATTTATTAAAGAACAAAGGAAGATTGTACAGATTTTTGTTTTTCTTCTTTTAGCCTTTTTAGATTTTATTTGAGGACGTTGATTGATAAATTTTACTTCATCATGAATATATTCTTCTTAAAAAGTAAGTTAACATTTTCATGTTACAAATATTAAAACAAGATATAATAACAAATTTCATAGTTTTAAGTCGATACAGTTAAGAGAGTTCTATAATATTATAGTAAGTATTAAAATAGTGAAATCTTCTACGAAGAAGAAACGGATTTGAAACAAAGAAAGTTATTTTTCTGGACGATTGAATAATCAACATGATCGATAGTCTACAATTCAGTAATTTTCAATGAGCAAAACGATTCATTAGGTAAAAGTACTCTTTCGTTAGCAATGGATGACAGATAAAAACAAGAACATTCTCATAATAAATTCATGAAGGAGAAAGTTTTTCTACAGATAAATGTTTGTGTACAATCGTAAGGACTCAAATGAACTATGAATATCTTGAAAAGCGTTCATGTCTTAAGTGTATCGCTACGGATATACTTATGTTTTAAATGAATACTATGATATTCTCAGAAAAATAACGACACTTATTTAAAAATTTTTGTGAAAATGCAGGATATTTAGAACTCATTACAGTCTGCATAATGGATATAGTCTTTACTCAACAGCAATTTATCATTTTAATCACTGTTATTTTCTTAATGATCAGTCATTCTTTTCTAAATCTTATTTTCAAGAAATTATTTATATATCATTAAGACATTTAATAAATCACATATAATCTGAAAAGTAGATATTGCCATCTTCTGAAGTACATAAATCGACTAGTCTACATTATTTTTATTTTTAGTAAATATTGTGAAGATGATTATTATGTTAAATTTTTTTAATTTTGTATTTGAAAAATCACCATCACAATATTTTATTTGTGTTATATCTCATAAATGGATAGCATCAGAAACTCAAGTTGCCTTTTCATTTTGTTATTTAATATTAGCAGAAAAAGATCCAACATCAATTGAACTTCTTGATTTACAACCGTTACCTGTTAATCCATTAAGAACTTCAAAATATGAAGATTTATATAATTTTAAATTTTTT